GGTTACGTTTAGAAAGACCAAGATAAGCATCAAATGGCTAGTTTGTTCAATATTTCCAGAGATATTAGAAACAAAAAAACCAAAAAAAAAGTATGACCTGTTAAAAACTTAAAGCAACAAGAACCAACATCAATGGTAGATCGTTAAAATTCTTCGGAAGGTTTGCTGCAGATTTTCGCGACTATTAGTAAATCAAACATGTTATAAAGATTTCCATAGAAAAAAAACATAACTCACACCTGTTTTTGAGCCCTAGCACGTGAAATCGAAACACACATGTTAACATACACAAAGTAAGAACATAAAGAAACTCTTGAATAACCTACCTCAATCCGGTTTATACTGTGAGATGTCTGGTGGCGATAGTGGAGCCACTTTAGGGATATGGTTTCCGGTGTGCAATGATGGCGTTGATGGTGGCAGCGAGATAGAGTTAGGGTTTCTCGTCTCGACATAAGTTAGAAGCGGGCGGCAGATGCCAGTGAAGGTAGGTAATGACAACGTCAGGAGGTTGGTGGTAACCGAGGCTACCGGAGATTGAAGAGAGTAAGGAGGGAAACAGAAAAGATCTAGGAGAAATGACGGCTGATGGAACATATTAGGGTTTTTCAAATACGCGTGTGTATACGCTTACATTGTAAGCTTAACAGGATTGTACATGGTGTTACAAGAGTTATACCTCTTAATTTTCAAGAAATAGACAATATGTTTAATAATATAGTAAAGATAACAGGATTGTACATGGTGTTACAAGAGTTATACCTCTTAATTTTCAAGAAACAGACAATATATTTAATAATATAGTAAAGGTAAATATAAAGATAAATATATATTATATCATTCCATTTTTATAGAAGAGTGCTTTTTTTATATTTGACAAATACTGATTATAACAAAATGTAAAAAATAATCAATCTTAATATTCAAAAAAAGGATTCCAACTTTACAGTTTACAGTTTCATAAAGGGGAATCAAAGTTCTTCTCCAACCACGTTAACATTTGGAAACGCATATTTAAACGGGAAAAAGGCGGTAACATTCGCTCCCTAAATTCCGGAATTTTCTTTTGGCTCGGATCCCTGTTTCTCCCGTTATACTTTCTCTCCATAATCTCTCTCTAAAACAGAACGAGCTTTCATATTCCCAATCAGTGATTACTGATTATTGCAGATGTAAACCAATTCTCTCGAATTAATTTCAGTTTTTTTCTGAAAGGTTAGTGAAATCCTCAACTCTTCTCTCTTAATTTTGGTTTCAATGATGTTCAGTTCGATTTGTTGTGAAGGATCGGATGCTGATTGCCTGATTATGTTAGTACTGATTTCAGTGATCCACTTCATTGTTGTTATTTTCGTTTCATTATGATTTGTGTTGTAAAAAACGAGTTCCATGAATTCTCTCAGTGATATTGATCTGCAGGGATTACAAATTCACTTCAGTGCAAAGCTTACACATTAATCAAACTTTTTGATTAACTCCGAATTGATGATCAAGAATCATTTGAAAACAATCCAGTCAATCAAGAGGAATCAAGAACATAAAACAGAGTAAAAGAAAACAACCCATAGAACACCAAGACTTATACACGGTTCAATTCTATTCAATCGATTTCTTATCTACATCCACCGCATCCACTGTTATTTCTTTCTTCTTCTTCTTCTTCTTCGCCTTCAAAACAATTCTTGTTTTATCTTGCAGCCACAATATACAGAGCATATACAGAGAAATAATATTCTTAAGACTAACAGAATTTGCACGCAGTTGATCGCTTGGTATGGAGGGAGTCGAATCAAAATCACAGTCACAAGGGCAGGATAGTCGGATTATGTCAGAAAATTCCAAATGCCTTGTAGAAAATGTAGAAGGTAATATCCTTATGGAACTTGAATCATTACATAATCTTTCTTTCACGATACAAATCAATTATCGTTCATTTCAATGTATATACTAATTGATCTTCAAATTTCTGGGAAACTAGGGTTCCAGCAATGCGTCAAAGAAATCCATAACCAGATTGAACAAGATGAAAATTTCTTCAAAATAATAGCCGAATTTTACGATAGCAAGAAATTGAACATGGCAAAACTGGTAAGCGAGTTATCACGCATGCATGGGGCATTGGCCGATCAAACTGTTGATTTGATTAAAGAAGTGAGCAAGAACACACTCAAAATTACAACACCTATCAAAACACAGCATGTTGATTCTTCTACTTCAACCTCTACTCAAGTTACTCAACTGATTAAAACACCTGAATTCATGACACCTGTTGGTTATGACTTTATTTTGGACACTAGTGGAGGTGGTTTTCATATTTCTACAAGAGAAGGCACAGAATCTTCCTTCACGTTATCATCAAATTCCGATCTGGCAGAATCTTTCATGTCCATCAACAAGAATCTAAACCCACCAGTCAAGAATGATGAATCGAAGGCGAAAGAAATCAAAGTTCATGACCCTGAGCCTGACGTGTTACTCAAAAAGATTTCAACTCTTGAAAAAGAACAGTTCAGCTTGAAGAAAAAGATTCAGTATTTACGAGACGAAAATGCCCTTCTTGAAGCTGAGAAAGCTAACATGGCTGAGCTTAAACGCATGGTTAGCGAGTCTAATCGTAAGATTGAAACAACCGGAAAGGTGTTAGAGGTGTACAGAAAGCAAGTATTAACAGCAGACGATGAAACTACAAAGCTGAAAGAAGAGCTTGCTAGAAAAGTTGTATACCAAACTCAGTTGGTGAAGAAACTTGAATCAATTGAGGAAGTTATATCCATGTTAACTGGGAAATTAGATGCACAGGAAGCCAGGGAAAGTAAATTGCATGAGCAAGTAAAGTTAAGCCTAGCTGGTATATCAAAGCGAGATGATGTAATCAAAGAACTGAGTACCCAGATTGATCTACTCAAAAATTCTCATGCGACTGAAGAGGATAAATGGAATACTGCTATTGAAATGTTGAAAACAGAACTTACTGAAAAGTGTCAGTTAGTTGATGATCTGAACAAGAAGCATGATGCTCTGAAGATATGTACAGATGAACTGAAACTGAAACTCAAAGGTGTGGAATTGGAAAAAGGGGAGGTGACGTCTGAAGATGCAGTTTGAAGATCCTGTGTAAAGGACAATGGATGTGTGTGTTTGGTGACGTAAATACAAAGTATATGAGTTTTAGTTGTAGATAAAGTCAAATGCTGGTTTGACTTAACCATGTAGATGTGTATTGTGAATTTGAGATTGACTTAGTCTCATTAGTTTCTTCTTTCTTTCCTTGTGGACGCATATACATACACAAAGCAATAAAAGAAGCCAGTTCATGGTATTTTGATCTTCAATTTTTTTTTGTTCTAATTTCTTCTACAAACAGTAACACGTTTACACGCACATTCTTACCCTATACCATCGAGATGCAGTTTAAATTTTTTGTTTTCGGGCAAGGAATGTGTCGGTTTGTGACCTATATACAAGGTATGGGGGGTGGATGTAAATAAATGTCTGTTATGTCGTTTTTTTGAAATAGAAAAAAAAAATGAAAATTTGAGATAACAAAGTAAGAAATATTACGATGAGAGAAACTGTTAGTTTAGATGGCCCAGCATGTAGCCCATTGGCCCTGTATTTGTGTACGCATTGGGAAATCAATAACAATCACAATACCATTTGTGGTATCGGCTAGAGATGTGTGGCAAAACCCCGAAAGGACTTTTCGAGAGAATAAAACTGCAAGAACATTGTAACTCGACAGTAAAATCCACAACATTTCGAAGGGATCTTAAAAACTTATAAGATGTAATTTCAAACTATGTATTTAAATAAATGATATACGTATGTAATAAAAATAAAAAAGCAGATAATGGAAACTATTTATATAGAACCAATATAGGTATAATAATAAACATTAATACAAATTAAAGGGGTTAATGAGGAAATATTTTAACGAAACGATGAAATCGAAATGGTGTATCAATCAATCAGTTTTAATATGAATTAAAAAAAGTTTATTCTATCCAAATGCCCTATTCGTATCAACACCGCATGCGCGTGTAGTAAACGATAAAAAGAAAGAGAGTGAAAGTAATAAGGGGTGTATGTGTACTAAAACGAACATTTCAACAGAAAAATATAGGTTATCATTACATACTAGCTGCTCCATTAATATACCCCAGGTTCTTTCCTATTTCTCCTTACTCGTCGTCTTTCTCCGAGATTGTCCAACAAACAAAAAAAAATGGCAGACGAGAATAACGCAGAGAATGCCGCTGAGCACGAGGTGGTGCCGTTTGTCGATGTACCCGACCACATTCTCAGAGATATCTTCTTCCGACTCACTGGAAGAGAGTTGGCGTTGTTAACGTTGAGAAACCTCGATAAGGCTTGGGAAGCGGAGATCATTCAGGAACTGCAACATCCCCGCGGATTTCTGGTTAAAAGGAGGTCGCCGGCGCTCCATCAGGTCCCAGTCGCAGTTAATACTATTCAGTTTGATTTCATTAACTACTTTCCTAAGGATGATTCGCTTTTGAACACCCTCGCTTTACCCGATCTTCCTGATATCAAGCTTGAAAGTTCGAGTGATGGAGTTATGCTTTTAAGCAGCAGAGGTAACTTCTTTATCTTCCTTCCCGTTAATAATTTTTTCAATATGTTACCTCCCTTTGAGAGGTATCTCAGTTTGCCACAAAAGGGTATGGTATTGGCATTCAACCGGCTAGAGTCCCGGAGACACTTCAAGGTTGTGTATGTGAACCGAGTCTATGCCCATGATCCGTCTTATAACTATATGCTAGAGTTTGGGGTTTATTCTACTAGGGAAAACAGATTCAGCATTGGAACGACTTTTTGGGTTCCGAACATACTTCACCCAGACGCCCTTGATTTTGAAGGCGGCTTGTATTGCAACTTGACTGCATACTGGGCTCAGAAACATGGATGGCTTATATACTATAGGTTAGAAGACAACGTAGCCGGGAAGATTGATTTCCCATTTGTGGCAAAGACAAGAACTCATTATTTTGAATACTGCAACGGAATTTTCGTATCTATGGGGAACTTACTTGTCGTAGAACTTTGGGAACAATTTCAAACGGAAGTTAAGATTCACAAACTTGAAGAAAACAACTCCTGGTTGCTTATCTATACTATTAATTTGAACACATATGAGGATATGTTTGAATTTGATCGTTCTAGTTGGATAAGAGGATTCTACGTATGTGCTATCGATTTACGTGAGGATTGTTGAGTGTGAAGCCATTGGACTGGTCAAAAGGCAGAAAACATGGCAGAAAACATGGAAGAAAAGCAAGTCAAAAAGGTGGAAAAGGAGAGGTGATCCATATTTCCCGGATGCATGTTTCATGGCTGCTTTTCTTGTTCAATTGTTTACTTCAGACTCTATGTATGAGTCTCATCTGTATTGTAAAAATAAGCAACAAAGAGTGAGTGCAGATTAGCACCAAGAAATATAAAC